TTCAACTATCTCAACTATCTTTCCTTCTACTCTCTTTTCTACTTCCCCGGATTTCTGTTTTAAGAAATAAAGAAATATATAAATGACATTGTACAAAAATTAAAAACAAGTAAATAAACCGTCGTGGTAAAGCATAACAGAAGACGGTATGTAATAATTACAGACGTCTAAATAACATCAAACGACGGTTTAATAAAAAATGCGTCGTGGTATAACTTTTAACACGGCGGTAAATATAAACAGCAAAACAGAGAATTCAAAGTTCAAAGACGTTACCATTTCTTCTTGCTTTTCCCCATTCTTGGCAGTATCCTCCTCAAATTGTAGGGCTCTAATATCAAATGCCCCAGAGCAGCTTGCTTTGTCCGACATTGGATTTTTGGGACTTTGCCCTTGGATTTGACCGGGGTTAGTATTCAGTTTCAGCACGCTTGGATCAAAATTGGGGATGAGTTTGGAAAGCTGACTTAGCAAATTTTCCCTCTCAGCTTCTACCAATTACTTGGTCCTAGCCTCCATCTTAACTCTCTTCTCTTGATCTAGCCTCCATTTTCAAAGTCTCTTCTTGAAGGACAAGTCTTACACTTTCCTTCAATTGATCGGCAAACCTTACCTTCTGTTGTCTAGGTAAATTGAAGTATTGCTTAGGGGAAACCCCAGCCCCTACCCCTCTAACTCTTCCTGGATGCTCGGGACCCAAAGCCAATGTCAAAACATCATTGGATCCTGACAGAGAAAGAGTGCCTTCAGAGACTTGCTTTTGCAAATCATCCTAACAAAAAGACATAATAAAAAGTCAGCATAAGAAAACACACGACGATTATTTATAAAAAATTGACGTAATATAATATTTCACACGACTCAATAACATAACAATCGACGTAATATAATATTTCAGACGACACTACCTAAATACAGACGTTATTAATTTATTAACACGACGTCAATAATAAACCACCGACGTCTTATGATATACTTACAAAAAACAGGGTAGTGATTCCAGATTCAGACCTTTAACGACGTTTTTTAAAATATTTCGACGTAGTAATATTTTTCACACGACGCAAAAATATAACAGAAGACGTAATAAAAATGTAAAACAGAGTGAGTAGGCTTACAATTAATTTTGCTTTCTCTGCAGCCTTTGGATCCGGGATGTTACCATGTTTGTCTTCTCTTGCTTTTTTCCATAAGGTAGATCGATCAATATCTACCCCAGGCATGATTTCCTTCAAGTCCTCCTTAAAACCAACATATCCTTTTCGAGACAATCGATCATTGTACTCAAGTTTCTCCCTCCTCTGTGATTGTTCTTCATGCACAGCCTCAAATTTTTCAGATAACCTTGAAGCTACAAAGGAATCCCAGTAAGCTTTCTCTATGAATTTGTATGTTTCAGGGGGTTGCCTTAATTTCTCCTTCTCCTTGATGAATGGAAGGATATGAACCCTCGTTAGTGTAGACTTGAAATCCTTCCATTTTTTGGCAGCAGAAGATAACACCATTTTCTTGCCCCCTTGACCAACCACAAAAGCCATGTCAACGGCTTCCCAAATCTGCTCTTTTATATCCTTGGATATTTGAACCCATTTATTGTCCACAAGTGGGACTCTGGAGCGTGCCAACACACCAATGTAGGACTGCATCTCACTATGTGCACAGCCATATGGTTTCCCCTTGGAATTGTACTCAACAATAGGCTTGATTTTCTGAAATTTTCTCTTCACAACACGGGGCATTGTGCTTATACCCCGACCTGACTTTGCCTCCTCAGAAATAGTTGCCGTGCTGGCTGGTTCTGTCTCAGAAGATGAAACAAACTTCATCTTCTTCGAGGACTTGGCTTAAGGATTTACAATTCTAAGCTCCTTACATTCATTTTTTTTCAAGCCA